CCCCCCCCCCCCCCCCCCCCCCCCCACATTTTAGTCACATGACCAGTACATCATCCAGTGAAACGACATATTGCTTGTTGTTCCTGCGTGTCCCACATCAGCATCACGGAGCTGGTCTTCCTCTCCCTGGTCTGCATGGTGTCCCGCTCGTCACGCCTAATTCCGCTTCAGCTGTGTCACTGCCGGCTTGCTTCGGCGAGTAGATGGGTGGGGAGGGTGGGGGTGTGTGAATGTTTCAAGCTCCCTTGTTCTGTACGCCTGAGGTCTGGAATGGTTCTGCTTCCTATTGCTCTAGCTGATGGCCAGTACCAGGCTCACATTTACCACTTCATTTTCAGTGAGTCTGTTATTGTTTGGATGTTATAGCAATTGGGATTTCCTCTTTGCTACCAGAGATGTATATCTGAAGCGCTTTGGATCTTCGTGGAGAAGTTACAGCATCTTACCTGTTCCTATGGGCGGCGTTCAGATGTATTCAGGGCTTGTAGATGTGTCATTGTTGGCTGCTGCCCATCTCCTAATCAAACAGACGTGTTCTGCTACGTCTGGTGGCCTGATTAGGTTTGACGTTGAAGCCCGAGTCACACCAATCCCCTGTCACGATGGTGACTGGATACTGAGGCTCATAATCTGTGTGTTATCATCCATTACTCTCAGACTTAGATTCTCTAAATGCTTTGGGGATCGATCAAAGCCTCCAGCCTGTAACAATGTTGGCATGACTTCCTGGCTGTGAGGTGTTGAGGTGTGGAAGTCTCTCATTGCCAGACTTGATACTTCAGGAAATTAAGTTTCAGGATGTTTTAAATAGCTGTTATGCTGAATCACAGGTCACTGTGCAAAGGGCCACTGTGTCCTTTTTCTGGCCCCTGATGTAGTTAAGGAGGGCGTGGGGTTTGTGAATAAGGTACATCTGGGGGGGGGAGGGGAGGGGTGCCCTCTTTGAAGGCCACTTGTGCCCTCTTGGGCTTAAAATAAATTGTTGCTGACAAACAGCATTGTAACGTGAGACCTTCCACTTTCTGGTCTGGTGCAGAAAGTCGCACTTCCAGGCGTCCTTTGTGTTTATGGACGATGACGGGCATGACGGGCACTGCCGGCTCGCTTCCCGTAAGGAAAGCTGGCACACTGTGTTCATTGTCTTCCCGGATGGAAAATCACGGCTAGGATCGTCCGGCCTCTTTGAATATTCATGATCCCAGATGCTGGGCTGTTAAATGTGGACATGCTGACGTTCTCCGCGTGCCGGTAATTCGTTGAATCGCCGCCGACCCACAGAAGGTTTCCTCTGAGATATTTGTATGCACCTGTTTTCACCCTCAGCGTCGGCCGGTAACACGGCAGCCGCACGGCTTCCGATAAGAAGTCGATGGACTGATATCTGGCCAACGGCAAAGGGGTGGGAGGTTGACCCCCCCCCCCCCCGCGAGCTCTCGCCAGCTTTTCTGGGATGATCACCAGGCCTTGCCGTCACGCCTCTCTCCTGTCCACGTGGGATCTCTGTCACCAGGGTTGTGAGCTGCCCTGCGCTCCCTTGTGTTTCCGCCCCCCGTCGTGACTCGGCCCCCGTCGCAGTTGCCTGTATGGATTAAGCAGTGCCACTTCTCAGGGTTCTGTGCACATCAGGGGCTCCTGTTCATGCACCCCAAGAAAGGTGGCTGGATGGAGGGTGGGGCTGCCAAAAGAACTCTGGGAAAGTCCATCCATCCATTTTCTGTAACCTCTTATCCAGTTCAGGGTTACAGGGGATCCACAGCCTATGGGTGCAAGGCAGGGAACAACCCAGGATGGGGCACCAACCCACCACAGGCCACAGTCACACATACACCATTTGGTAACTCCAGTTAACCATAATTTTTGGTGTGGGAGAGAAACCAGAGTACCCAGAGGAGACCCCACAATAACCTGGGGAGAACATGCAAACTCCACATGCATGGAACCCTGGCGGGGATATGAACCCAGGTCCCAGAGGTGTGAGATGACAGTGCTAACCACTGCACCCCCCCCGATTAAAGTCCTCAGTAGGATTTCCTCAGACGGTGTTGCCCCAGCCGCAAAGCGTCATCCTTGATGTAGTAGAAGTCCGGTGCTGTATCTCTTTTTAGCTACAAGCTCCCCTGGGATGGATAAAGTTGATCTTATCCTATGATCCCCATCGGAGCTCCCTGACCCATAATCACATTTTACATAGTGCCTGATTGGCTGGATGCGTGGCTGACCTGACAGTGTAGCTGTTCTTCATTGGCTGAGAAGGTTTACCTCAATGTAGGGGGGAGTGGAGCTGCATCGTAAATGTCAGGAAAAATATCTGCTTGGTTTTAAAAAGGGGGCTGCACTGTTTATTCCTGGTGCTTGCGGGGCCCGATGTTCTCTTTTTCCGTCCCGTAAATCGCTTCAGGTTGCGATCCTGCCACATGAACTCATTGAACCTCCCCCCCCTCCCCCCCCCCCCCCCCCCCCCCCCCCTGCAGTCACAGACCTCCTGCAGCTTCCGCGTCTCGCAGCTGTTTCCCCTCCATTCGTCCTCCATTCTTACCCGCCCCCCTCACGGGAGGAATCATCCGCTCGTGTGCCATATGCTTCCTGCAGTTTGCTTCGTGCCTCTGGACCATTTGGCCAAACTGTGTGGGGGGGGGGGAGGAGGGTGTCCCCCCCTACTCATAAACAGGGGGTGGTCCCACGTTGCAGTGAAATCCCTGCCTCAGGTGCCGTGTCCCATCAGTCTGGGGGGGAGATTACCAGCTGACTCCGCCCTCCTGTCTCCAGTGCTGCCCCTATCGTTCTTTGTCAGTCACGTTTCTGCAGTCTGTCATGCCCCCATTCGCCATTTTGAGTGTATCGTGGATGTGCACACATTTAGTTAACAAACTTAATATTTCATATTCAGTGTTTTTTTTTTTTTTCCTCCACAAAAATGTAATGTTTTATGTAATCAGTAATATGCAATTTTCATTATCAAAACACACCAGTCATTTAGGTGTTTACGAAAGGAGAAAAGTCAAGAACACCACAAAAATGTCATTGGACATAACTTTATTGGCCATATTTAAAATAAAATATAAGTGGCAAGCAGAATACAGGCTCGGTATACAACGAGTTTATACAGATCCTTCCAGACATCATGTGAAACGTTAGAAACCGTACTTGCAAATGCTTCTAAACTTAAACAATAGTTGGGCATTGGTTTGTCAGGGCACAGCAAACAGTGACAGCTTTACCCAGCGTTAGCGCTTATAATCCATGCATGCAAATATACACATACATGCACTGATAAACGTGTCATTACAGCTTTGCTGTTTACTTCTGTCTTTTAAAAGCATTCACTCTGTAACGCTAGTTTAACACGAACAGATTAACCCATTTCTGCTACCCTCCAATACGGAGGCTAGCTTGCTAGCGTAGGTTAACCAATGTAAAAATACCCGCTTTAGAAGGCAAAAAAATGCATATTCAGTAATACTACTTAAAGAAAAAACATCTTACTTGCCTTTATGAAAATGTCGAGAGCAAACACGCATTAAGGGAGATATCACATTGCAAGTGATCGATCTCCTTCCGTCTCACTGCCGTGACCCTGCTGTCCATCCTCTTTTCCAAGTGAGAAACGACAAAATCTCATGTTGTGGTCCAACTTTCTGCGATTTCTACCATGTGACTTAGTATGACAGCCTTTCACACAGCACGAGTGTCCCAACTTACCGAAGATAATGCCACACACAAATGCTGGCACATCCATAATGGTGATTCGACCCACAATGCACTGTGGCTGTAGCGAGTGTGACGTCAGCTGACAGACCGATTGTGAGCCACTGGACTAAAACACCATAAGGCTGAAGCTGAGCTGTTATCACACCGTTAAGATCCATCCATCTTCTAACTACCGGTCGGGTTCATGGAACCTTGGACGTCTTTCTCTTTACAGATTTGCAGTGTTTCCCAATCCGGTCCTCAGAGAAACACAGACAGCCCACTTTTTTGCACTGGCTGGGAGGCAGCAAAAATGTGGACTGTCTGGCAGGGAGCTGGGAGGCAGCAAAAATGTGGACTGTCTGGCAGGGAGCTGGGAGGCAGCAAAAAT